TTTTCCAGATTTCAAGGTGATATAAATAGGAAGAAGCTGCTATAAAAATGGCGATCTCAAGGATATGAGCAGATTTGTGGTAAATCCCTTGCTTGTTAAGCTCACCATGAACATGAGCAACCATCTAATGCTGCAATGACACTCTCAGATATACTGTTTGGAAACCAGCATAATAAATGGTATTACTTCACTGACAACCTGCACATGTCAGAACTATCTAGACTCCCTCCTTTCCCTTGATCAACAACACAGTAAGTGTTCTCTTGGTGACCTCCAAGGATTACATGAAACTCCCAAATGAATTTAGTATATGATTTGTCAAGTCACTAAGAAAACCTGGTTAAGACATCTCTTGAGAATAGAGATAAAGTGCACATGTTACATTTAGAGGTGAGCTGTGATAATGAGGCCAAGTTTACACATTTTATCCAGTTAGTTTCAAAAATATTTTATGGTTAGCTGAGGAATATGCAAATAGGTCACATAGTGATTTCCACAAAGGAGATTTGGGATGGATGTGAGGAAAGAATGGGCACAAATCCTTTCCTCTAATTGAAAAGTAGTAAATGTACACAATTTTATGTTGTTGTTGTTGTTAAGTGCCATTGAGTCAGTTGCTACTGAGAGCAACCCTGTATAGAGTTTCCAAGGAGCAGCTGGTGGGTTTGAACAACTGGCCCTGTTCCTCATAGCCCAGCATATAATAAAAGGGTAAGTAAAAGGAATGGCTACAAAATCTTAGAAACCTTCATTGAACAAAAATATCAAAATGGGATGTTATTGGTTCTTCACATATCCTTCATCTAGGTCTATATACTTCTGAAGGCAGTATTTTCGAGATCTAGCAGAGTGGTTATGAGTTGGGCTGCTAACCTCAAGGTCAGCAGTTCTAAACTATCAGCCGTTCTGCAGAAGAAAGATGAGGCTTCCTGCTCCAGTAAAGATTGATAGCCTTAGAAACCCTATGCACAGTCACTATGAGACAGAATCGACTCCATGGCATACCATCACCAACAACCGTTTTCTAAGGACTCCTAGTGTAACACTGCTGATGTTACATTTATCAGCCCAGCTCAAAATCCACTATGCTACCAGGGATCAACACTCATGGAAGCAGCAGTAAAATCAAACGGTGTATTGCATTAGGCAAATCTGCTGCACAAGACTTCGTTTCCTTAAAGTGTTCAAGAGCAAAGGTATCAATTTGAATACAAAGGTGCGCCTGACCCAAACCATGCTATTTTCAATAGCCTCATATGAATGTGAAAGTTGGACAGTGAGTAAGGGAGACTATAGACGAATTGATGCATTTGAGTTATGGTGTTGGAGGAGAATATTAAAAATACCACAGACTGCAGAAGAAAAACCAATCTGTATTGGAAGAAGTATAGCCAGAATGCTCCTTAGAAGCCAGGATAGCCAGACTTCATCTTTCTTAATTTAAAGCTATTATTAGAAGGGACCAGTCCCTGGAGAAGGACATCACGCTTGTTAAAGTGCAGGATCAGCAAAAAAGAGGAAGACCCCCAAGAAGATGGACTGGCACAGTGGTAGCAGCAATGGGCTCAAGCATAGCACCAGTTGTAAGATTGGCACAGGACTGGGCAGTGTTTCATTCTATTGAGCATAAGGTCACTATGAGTTGGTATTGACTCGATGACACCTAACAAATGGGTCATGCAAATGTTTAAGTGCTTGAGCACTAGCCAAAAAACTGACAGTTTGAACCCATCCAGAAGTACCTTGGAAGAAAGACCTAGTGATCCGCTTCTGAAAGTTCTCAGTCTTGAAACCCTCAGGGACAGTGTTGACTGTGCCCGCATGGGGTTGCCAAGAGTCAGAATCAACTGGACCGCTGACAGCAGTAACAATGGTGAAGTCTGAGATAGCTGTCTCAGCGGGATGGCCTTCTCGTCCGTGTCTTCCAAGTCTCCCACCTTTGACAGACTAGCCACTTCCCTATTGCTCTTTTTTTAAAAAATATTTTATTGTGAATTATGTGATAGTTTACATGGGAGAACATAAGGTTTACATTCATCCTACGTATATATCGTTTCATTGCCATGGTTACAATCCCCTCCATGCATCATCAACCAACCAAAGGGTATACCCTGCAAGTTAAATGTCTGCTTTTTATGGTAAACATTTCATAAAAATATATCTTAGCTATTATGTAGGGGATAATATTAACATTGCAACTTTGTGTTAGAATGTCTTTTCAAGACTAAGTTTACTAATGATTAAGAAATCACTAAGGAAATTATTGACCTAAATGAGGCCAAATACGTTATCTGGTATCTTATGAAGTGTAAGAGCAGAAGTGTGCCCAAGATATTGAAATGTGGCTTAATTTAGCATGCAATTAACTACTTAAACATTGGTCCAGTCCTTTGGAGCCTCAATATCAAGTTATCACTTATACATGCCTCTTTTCAATAGTTGAAGTTAACCTGTGGAAGCCAGTGAGGACTCTATGATTTTTTTCTTGCTTTTTTTTTTTTAGAGTCAAAGACTACATACATTTACATAACTTAGTCAAATCCATTGCAAACAAATAGGAAGATTATTTAACATTTAAAGTCTACTGACAATATTACCAATTAAAACAAAATCCTGGTAACTTCACCTTTCTGTCACCTCCTTAGTAGAAAATACCAACACCACAGCACATAATCATCACCACCACCATGCCTCGTGTTGGCCTTTCAGAATTCTAACGCTCATCTGATACAATCATAGTAAAAAGGCAAAATTGTGGCAGGTCCCATATTTATGAACATTTTTAAGTGAAAATATGCAAATAATGCAATGGCTTTCTTTTTTCCCATGTGTAATAATACTATCACTCTGAAGGACATTCATCTTCCCACTGATTTCATTAGCGTTATGATATAATGGGAGTCCTGGTGTGGCGCTGTGGGCTAGTGAGTCAGACTGCAAAGTCATTTGAACTGCAGGGTTGGTGGTTCAAGCTCACCTGCTGCTCCTTGGAAACCCTATACAGGGTCGCTATGGGTTGGAATCGACTCAACAGCACTTCACAACAACAACAATGATATAATGACACTGAACTTCAACTAAATGCATCCTTCTGTTTATTAAGAAAGGAGCTATTCCGTGCCTTTGAGGTAATTTTACCACTGCTAGTAAAAAAGTGTTACTGGGCCCCTTCCCTTAAGAGTCAAATTACTTACATTATTCTTTATATGCCTTTCATAAGTTAAGATGAACTTGCAAGCAGAAAACATACTTAATTTAAAATATTACAGAAGAAAAAAAAATGGATTGTAAATGAGATAGATAACCTGTATTAGACGAAAAGGCAAACTTCCCTTCATAAAACAAAACAAACAAAAAAACACCAATTCTGATTCTGACTCAGAGCAACCTTACCTATCATAGAAATAATCAATTCTATGTTATAAAAATAAGGGTAAAATTTTTATCAAAATAAAGTGGAGAGAAAAGATTAATAACTGCACAAACCTGGTGATAAGTATGTCCAGATCAATTGCAGTATTTCTTATCAGAGCATTCCTTATGATGGTTTCATCCAACAGCTCTCCCTACTACTGTCCATAAAGGCAATACTAAGTCCCTGAAGTCACTCAGTGGTCTGTGTGTTGCTTTGTTTCCCATTTGAATATAAATGCCTCTTAATAAGACTGCCAAAGAACCAACCTGTATTGGAAGAAGTGCAGCCAGAGTGCTCCTTGTAGGCCACAATGGCCAGACTTTGTCTCTCATACATCAGACATATTGTCAGGAGGGACCAGTCACTGGAGAAGGATATCGTGTTTGGTAAGGTGGAGGGTCAGAGAAGGAGAGGAAGACCCCCAGAGAGATAGACTGGCAAAGTGGCAACATCAATGGGCTCAAGCGTGGCAACAGTTGTGAGGTTGCCCCAGGATTGGGCAGTGTTCCATTCTGTTGTGCATGGATCGCTATGAATTAGTACTGACTTGATGGCACCTAACAACAACAAAAAGTTTGAAAATAATAAAACCAGAAGTAGAAGTTGACTAAGGAGATCTCTGAGCTGGTTTCTTTTTGACGTGAGGGAGAGATACTATTAGCCATATGTCATTTCCGTATTATTTTAACTTTGTAAAATCTCTCTAATTTGGGGCACTGAAATGAAAATGTCCTGGTGGGGTGCTATAGGATGAGCACTGAACTGCTAATGGTAATCTGGGCAATTCAAACCCACCAGCCACACCTGGGAAACCCTACAGGGTTACTATGAGTCCAAACCAACTCGATGGCACTTAACAACAACAACAAAGCAAGAAAAGAAAGCTAATTAGATTGCCAAATGTAAAGTACTTACAGAGGATAGATAGGTAGGTAGATAGATGGATAAACAGACAGACACACACAGACAGATAGATAGATAGATATAAAGATAGATACATTCATACGATTGTTGTTGATGTTTTGGTTAAGTGCCATCAAGTTGGTTTCGACTCATAGCGACCCTATCTAGGGTTTCCAAAGAACGGCTGATAGATTGTTGTTATTATGGGATGTTGAATCATTTGCAACTCATAATGACCCTGTGTAGTGTTTCCAAGCAGTAGCTGGTGGGTTTGAACTTGCTGTTCATACTGAACTTGTTGTCCAGTGCTTATCCTACAGCACCACATCATATAATATTCCAAAATCCATATAATATTCTCAAATATTACATCCAGAATTATCAAATTACCCAGGGAGTGCTAGAGATTGGACACTTCCCTGCACCCGATTACTAATGATGATGAGAAAACAGCACATAGAGAGTAAGCAGTTAAGATTATGCTTTCAGGATTGTTGATGAACTGTTTTAGGACTTTGTTTTCTCTCAAATGAACCATAGTATTTATGAATAACGGCATAGAAAATATTAACTTTGAAATATAACCCAAATGAAAATATTAACTACAAAGATCTTTTTTACTTTAATTCAAATTATATAGATTTCAAAATCAATAAAACATATTTTAAAATAATGCACATACCATTGATCCACTGAGCTTCTGGGTCATGAAGTACAAAATCTTTCCTGAAGAGCTCTTCTAAAGAAAGTCTTGTTTCCGATGAATTGGTGAGTTCATCTACAATAAAAGAAAGTCTAGATTAGACAGCCTAATTCACGCTAGTTTATATAATGAATAAATTTTAAATGTTGAGTATTCTGCATTAATGAAATATGTTAATTAGACAAAAACATGAAGCGACCATTTTAAGATGACTTTTGGTATGTGAGATTTGCCTCAATTATTTCAATACAAAAAATGTCTTGACCTAGCATGAATCTATTGAGTGGATCATTTCCGTGTTGTGCAGCGATACGTAGTATCAAAGTGGAAAACCCACTGCCATCAAGTTGATTCAAGCACGTAGCTACCCTACAGAGCAACGTAGAACTGCTCTATGGGGTTTCAGAGACTACAAATCTTTATGGAAGCAGACAAGTTCATCTTTCTTCTGGGAAACAAATGGTAGATTTGAAGTACTGACCCTGAGGTAAGCAGTTCAATGCTTAATCCACTGTCCAACAAGAGTCCCTCTTGTGCTCCATACCCAAATACCCAAGAGGGCATATGTTTCATTATTTAACCATAATCAAAACAAATCTGACATTTTATCTTTAATGATATATTTGCAGTTTGATTATATATATAGTTGTTAAGTGCCGTTGAGTTCGTTCCAACACATAGCAACCCTGTAGGCTAGTGGGTTTAAACCACCAACCTTGCAGCTCAAACTAACCTTGCAGTCTAGCGCATTATCCTGCAATGCCACACCAAGATTCCCAAATATATATAAAGCAGAAAACTTGGAAGACATAAATATATGTGATAAAGAAAACTTCTGGAGTCAGAGGAAGTTACAAAATAAATAAGTATTAAATTCACTAAACCATGACCACACAACGAATATTAACTGGATTAAGAGTTAAAATTCAAATGATAAAATCCTTAGGCTATTAATAAAAAGCACAATGAAACCAAAAAATCAAACCACTGCCATCCAGTTGATTCTGACTCATGCTGTTATTGTTATTGTTAAGGTCTGTGGATTTGGTCCTGACTCATAGTGACCCATATAAAGTTTCCAAGGAGAGGCTGAAGGGTTTGAACGGCCAACCTTGTGATTAGCTGTCCACTGATTATCCTAGAGAGTCACAGAATATTAATCCATGACAGACAGAAAGCCATTCTACATAACCTAGGTATACTTCCCTTTTTAGTTCCAAAATCAAGGAAATGAAAGGACAACATGATTTGAATACCAAAAGTAAGCCTAACAGCAAACGCCCTTTTAGATGTGTGAGGCTGCAATATTTCATTTTGTTTGTAAAATAATAGCATTGTTTATTTGCTGTGCAAAGCTATCTTTGTGCCCTTTCAGTTATGACCTTCACTTTGTCTAAAATAAAATGCCAAGGATACATACTAACCTCATTAGCTTTTGTTTTCAAAAGGTTCAGTACTGATTGGAGCAAATGCTTTGCTTTTTCAAGTTGAAAAGTTGGGTCAAAGAATCAATATAACTTCAAATGCAATTCTATTTCACATGGATCAACCAGATATTTAACCCACAAAATAACTGCTCAGAAACCACTGGGAAAAATGACTAGTGGAAATTGTGAGAATGGTTTGGTTTCAATCTTGGCATGAGATATTTTGATTATATGTATACATTTTGATTATACTGGACTGCAAGGTTGGTTTGAATCACTGGTCAGCTATTCAAACCCTCCAGCCGCTCCTTGATAACCATATACAGAGTCGACGTGATTCGGCACCATCTGGACAGTACTTAGCAAAAACAACAGCATAGATTTTAAATACAAAAATGCTAAGTTAGGCAGCAATATACTTTTGCTTGTTTATCTGACACATCAAAATTTGAACTTTTTAAACCATTCAACAATACTGAGCCACTTAATTTTTAAGCTATGAAGTAAAGTATTGTAAGGTGCAAGAGATTACTAAGGGGCTTACACTCTAATGCAAGAAAAAATAATAGGTATTAGAATTAGGATGCACAGTGTAGACAAGTGCATAGAAAAGCGAGAACCAGAGAGAGCCTCTCTTAAAACTAGCTCAGGGGATGTGAAGGGCAACAGACAAGAAGAGGAAGGTGGACAGAAGAATGATGAAGCTAGGTGAAGACACAGAGAGCTATGTAAGTATTAAAGGGGCTAGAAATAGATAGTGTTAGGTACACAACCCTGGAACAACAGTGTTCTGTGGATGCATAAATGGACGGAGACAAACGCTAAACAGATATGGGAGGAAGAGTAGGAGTATACCCACAAATGCATAAGGGCTTGAAAGAAAATATTTGTACATGGGTATTTATCTTTACTGCAAACATACCTATGAATGAGGTAGACCATTGTGGTTAAGTGCCAGCGAGTTGGTTTTAACTCATAGCAACCCTGTACAGGGTTTTCAAGGAGTGGCTGGGTGAATTTGAATCACCAACTTTGTGGTTCAAACCAACCTTGCAGTCAACTGCCTATCCTACAGCACCACCCCAGGACTCTGGTGGAGCATTGTTGTTGTTTTTGTCAAGTGCTGTCAAGATGATTCTGACTCACAGTGACCCTGTGTAGGGTTTTTGAGGAGTAGCTGGTAGGTTTGAACTGCCACCTTGTGGTTCCTAGTCCAGTGCTGATTCTATAGCACCAGGAAATGAAAACTTCTTAGATATTATTAAACATTTTAAAAAAAAAATGAGTTCCTGGGCCAGGCAATTCAAAATCATAGTCTCAGAGGATGCCGTGGTCAGTTGATATAACATAATCCACAAAGTCAATGTTTTACATCTTACTTTAGTGAGTATTGTCTGGAATCTTAAAAGCTCAAGCATGATTAAGGGAAATACAGATAAATACTGTTAAATGATGGTAATAAAGCAAAGTATGTGATTTGTTGAGTGTAAAACTGATGATCTGCTCGGTAAACCTTCACTCAATTCACAATAAAAAATATTTTGCTTTTTTTTTTTTTAAAAAAAAAAAGACTGTATGTTGCAGCTGCTGGTTTCTCCATATGCAGAAGAAAGAAGAGTGATAAAAGCTCAAGAAGCTTCAAGTCAACAAATCCAATAGAAAACGGATTGCTATGAGCACATTAACATCAGTCACCAGGACTCTGAGACCAGGAAAACTAGATGGTGTCTGGCTACCCCTATCAACTTCTCTGAAAGGGATCAAGTTAAAGTGGCTGACCTTTCAGTTGGCTGCCAAGACTTTAATCACTATACCATCAGGGCTCCTTGTTCCCATCTACTGAATTGAAAGAGTTACCTGTATTATATATGATTTTGTTGTTAGTTGCCATTGAAGGAGTTCTGTTGGTGTAGTGGGTTATGTGTTGGGTTACTAACTACATGGATAGCACTTCAAATCCACCAGGCACTCCTTGAGAGAAAGATTAGGCTTTCTACTCTCATAAAGATTTATAGCCTCAGAAACCATGTTTGGGGACGCTATGAGTTGGAATGGACTCAGTGGCACATAACCACCTCACCATTTGCCACTGAGTTGATTTTGACTCCAAGTGACTATGTGTTCAGAGTAGAACTCCCTTCTAGGGTTTTGAAAGCTGTGATCTATCAGAAGAATACTGCCTAGCCTGTTTTCCAAGGGGCTTCTGGGTAGATTCAAACTGCCAATCTTTTGTTAGTTGAGTACTTTATCATTTGCGCCAAAAAGAGACTCCTGTATTATACCTGGATGGTCTACATGCGCACACATCTTTTGCACATCCACAAGTGTTTTGTCTGTTCCTACAATAACCCATCACTCGTCTGTCAGTTTTTCATGTTGTGAGTTGCTGTGATTCTGGAAGCTATGCCACAGGTATGTTAACTACCAGCAAGGTCACCAATAGTGGACAGGTATCAGATGAGCTTCCAGATGAAGAAAGACTAGGAAGAAGGAGTGACGAAGTACTTCTGACTATTTAGTCACAGAAAACATTATGAATATCAGAGAAACACTGTCAGATACAGTGCCAGAATATGAGACTCTCAGGTTGGAAGACACTCGAAATGCGACTGGGGTAGAGCTGCTTCCTCAAAGTAGCATTGACTGTGATAAAGTGAATAGAGTAAAGCCCGTTGGAGGAAAGCCTACAGGACCTTCATTTGCTAATGGGGCACAACTCAGAATGAAGAGAAACAGCTGTAAACATCCATTAATAATCAGAACATGGAATGTACAAAGTATGAATCTAGGAAAATTAGAAATTGTCAAAAATGAAATAGAATGCATTAATATCAATATCCTAGGCATTAGTGAGTTGAAATGGACTGGTATTGGCCATTCTGCATCTGACAACCACATGGTTTAATACGCTGGGAATGGCAAATTCAGGAGGAATGCTGTTATGTTGTCAAAAATAACATATCCAGATCAGTCATGAGGTACAACATTGTCTGTGATATCATAATATCCATATGCCTACAGGGAAGACCAGTTAATATGACTATTATTCAAATTTATGCATCAACCACTAAAGCCAGTGAAGAAGAAATCGAATTTTACCAACTTCTACATTCTGAAATTGATCAAACATGCAATTAAGATGTGTTTATCATTACCAGTGATTGGAATGCAAAGATTAGGAGCAGAGAGGAAAGATCAGTAGTTGGAAAATATGGTCTTGGTGATAGAAATGATGCTGGAGATCACATGTTAGAATTCTGCAAAATCAATGATTTGTTCATAGAAATCAAATTGACTACATTTGCAGAAAGAGACGATGGAAAAGCTCTGTATCATCAGTGAAAACAAGGCAGTGGGCACATTGTGGAACAGACCACCAAATGTTCATATGAAAATTCAAAATGAAGATGAAGAAAATGAAAACAAGTCCACAAGAGCAAAAATATGACCTTGAATATTTCCCATCTGAATTTAGAGATCATCTGAAGAATAGTTTGATAGATTAAACACTAAAGACCAAAGACCAGAAGAGTTGTGGGATGACATCAAGAACATCATATATGAAGAAAGCAAAAAGTCATTAAGAAGGAAAAGGTCAAACTGGACGTCAGAAGGGATACTGAAACTTGCTGTTCAGCATAGAGATGC